AATCTTGGCCGTCCCCTGGGCCTTTTGCCGGTCGGATTTGCAAGGAAGAGTTGCTTTGCCTTCCTTTCTGAAGGCATTCGCAACACATGCCCAAGCCATCGCAACTGTGACTTCTCAATCTGGAGAAGCAGAAACTGTACACCAAGGCTCTCCCGGATGTCAGTATCACAGACCATGTCGAGACGCGTAAGGCCAGCGACTCGTCTAACAAAGCCCATTTCAGCAGTTTGTACCCGGGTTCGAAGTTTCTCAGTGATGGACCACGATTCATGACCGTAGGTAAGTATGGGGATAACGATCGACTTGAATATTCAGAGCTTAGTTTTCAGACTGAGCTCTGCTTTAGTCGCAATGGATCGGGCTACTTCACGTAGAACGCAACAGGCTACTCAAATTCGCCGGTGGATCTCTTCCTCTAGTTAAGGAATTCCAAAAAATCCAAATAATAACTTCCGGCATCAGTCGCAGGGATCAAGTAGGATTAGGTACAATGACAAACCCAACCGCTGGCAAAATCTTCATCTTACTGCTAACCTTTCAGTCAAGCAACATCAGCTGTCCTCATGCAAACGATACGGCCTCAAATTCACCCTGAGCATGGCAAATACGGTTCAGAAACAAAACACTTGCTCAAACACCGTTCTTTTCATTGTGGCTATGTCCATCGAACACATAACACTAACAGTAAAGAAAAAGAGAGAAGGTCCAAACGACGTTCCGAAACCCACTACGCTCATACGTCGATTTTACTTCTACTCATAAACACGGGAAAAATCGATTCTACTTGCCTGTTTGTAATGACTATGAAGATCCAAACACATGAGTTTCTGTTCCCCGGAAATGACATCGGCTTCGCTTAGGCTGATGATCGTAAAGCCATGACTGGTTCTGTTTTTCCTTTCGTCAATTGAATACAACGCTAACTTGACGTTGATTGGAGGTTTTACTTCTGGAGCAATCTAGAATTTAGGCAAAAGTTTATAATCTGCCGCTAACCTAATAAATCAGTGTATAACTAACTCAAATTTTACCATATAATAGATATCAGTATAATATAAAAAGACGGTTCAACACCGATCTGCGGACTGGCAAAGGCAGACGAAGAGTCCACAGGTGGTGAAAAACTAACGACGAAAGAGTTCGACGGTGGCGGAACCAATGTATGAATAAAGGCGTTGGTACGTAGCCAAATTGGCACTGGAACCAAATTATGACGAAACCTCCACTGTCGAGGTTTGAACCGCAAAAGAAACCCGCTGGCGACTAACGACTGTATTATAACATTATCTGTGTTGTATTATGTTTTTTTCTGAAGACGGATCGAGTACGGTCTGACACGTTGGAGTTGTGCATACGAATTTTACACATCATAAGCAGTACGGTCAAGGTTACGATGAGAGATAGAAATTCATTCGATGAATCAGATGAATTTCCAATGAACAGACGTCAAGGACGAACACTCAGAGTGTTTCCGCTCCTGAAGGCGACAAACGCTCTAACAAAACTTTCGAAAAGTACCTCATATCGTATGATCTGTAAAAGTGATGCAGTACTACTTAGTGAAAATAAAAGAAAATTGAGAACGAACGTAAAAGCACAGAGAGAGGTTCAGTACATAATGAGGTATCGTCTGAGCACATGGCGAACTGCTTCAGAATAGAAGATGGGGGCAAATTAGGCATTCTGAGGAGGCAAGCCACCTGCTACCTATTACCATAGCTTTCAGGTAGCATGGTTCTATCACCCACGACGATAGAAAAATCGACAAAGAACCGAAAAGTCGTTGGAAATCACGTGGCTGAACTGGAGTGATGCTTGTAATCGTTTCGTACCAAGAAAATTCGGCTAAGTCTAAGTGGAACGTTTAGAAAACATTAGTAAACCCGGTGTTGTTATATAGCGCTAAATGTTTAACCATTCTGAAACTGTGGACTACAACAGAACTTCGCAGATGTAGTTCGGATACGTGATCAAGAAAACGAACAATATTTGGACTCCTTCATAGAAGATGCATCAATTATAACTTTAAAGGAGGGAAAAGCTAACAGATATGAGACTTCATACTTGTTTCAGACATTTGAAATGAAGGGCAGAAGACTATTTGAACAATTTTATCCACAAACTTCTAAAAGCGAAGGCTGAACGAAAGGTGGATTAAGGTTGTTAACACGAAAATCAGATGAATGCAGTGTCATGAAAGGAACAATTTTCGAACAACTTCATCAGGGAGAGAGTAAGTTTAGCTTAAATGAAGGACACATGCGGCTTCGTTGGTTAAAGCATGTTAAGCGAAGGTCAGGAAACCAAGTGGACAATGCTATGCAACGAAGCGAAGAAGCGAGGGCCGAACGAAAAATCAACTAACGTCTCTGATATAACACATATAACTGAGTGATATGATCGAGCAACTGATGAGAGAGATCCTAGGATATAATGGAAACGAACAAATCGATAAAGGTTCTTAACCTCGGTCCTCCATTCAAACGTCTAAATGTAACTGAAGGTTGGCAAAGCATTTTCAGACAAGTACTCTTTAAACTGACCGTAAAGTTCATGGTGTCGTCCGAGGTCAGAGCGGCGCAGTACGGGTGAATGGCTGATTTGGCCTTAACCGTCTCTTCCGGCAGAAGATACATGACGAAAAACAGCGACCAATGCGAGTTCGGTGTCAGTCGACCTGAAAGCGTCATTTGGATGTTCATAATCGGGTTATAGCCATTACGGCACCGTACCTGATATTAGCTCTGCAGAGTTGACGACCACGTTCAGCTTTCTCGACTGTCTGTCGAACTTTGCTTGCAGCCATACGCGCCATTTCTTCGCTACGGTGACTTCGACGTCACTGTCTTCGTTAATGAGACCCCTGAAACGCTCAACTGTAGACGAATCAGTCATTAGTTCGCGAAGAAGCTTCCGCATCGGTCCAATTCACGCGTATTAAGCAGACTGAATCTCTAAATCCCCATAGATTATGCCAGAGGTCATACAAAGACCGGAAAGAAGCCTATGAAGGCGGTGGTTGATGGCACAATGGACGGCGGAATACTTTATTAAACGATGTCATTCTAGCTGTGTGGCAGCAGCTTCATACTCATTCACGGAACACCGATGAATCTGGAGTGATCAGTGACTGATCCGTTACAGACATCGTCGAAATGCCACTGGGCACGTTGAGCGACCGATTGTCGCAAGTTTTACTACCATACTACTCTCAACTGCCGAGAAAAACATCTACCGGATTATCTTGAAAGGCCTATGGCAAACAGCTAATGAAGCTTCATCCAAGCCAGGCTTCCGGATGGTGAGCTGCTCGTTCTCCAAGCTGGTTGTTTTCACTTCACTTCTAAGGTTCCACTGCTTTAATGTCATGAAGTTTGCGGAGCATTAAGTATTTGCCCTTCATGATGTCAGGAAACCTTCTGTTTTTGTCATTGCACTTTTTCTAAGACATGGAGTCCCAATGTCGTTTATTAGTGGGAGTCGAAATAGTGCAGACGTTTACAAACAAGTCAGCATGCAACACCGAAGAACAAGATAGAGCTGGATTTTCTTTCATAGAGTAACTGTTCCTCTTAGAAGCCAGTAACAGGTACCTTATAGCTGCAGCTTAAGTGCTGAGAAGGTGCGGATGTGCAGGACATCATAACCAGAGACGTTCAGCTTATGCAAGGAGCATAAAGTGAAGAGCACAAAGAAAGATTTCAACACAATGAATGTCCATAATCCATTTGACCGGGGTCATATTCATTAGTGCCCCGCTAAATCCTGCCTTGTTTAAAACGCGTCAAAATAAAATAAATAACAGCAGCGAAAGACTGACAGAGGCGCTCGTTTAAATTATCAAAGTTAAATCACATGAATCATGGGCATAATTATGATGATAATGATATACTATGGATCAGGTATATAATTCCGCTGAAATGCAATGCTGTCGACTCACTGCATCATGGACCATGCTGATCAGAACTACAGAACGCCGTAGTTCTGCAACAAACTCGCACGACGTCATAATCATCTTCATAATCGCTGTTATCCTCTTCATCTTCACGGTTAGCATCGTCTCTTTTCCTGAGAACTTCATGAAAAACGCTTAATTTCAACCAGACAAGCGCGTCGGTTTACCCGTGGCCTGGTGCAGTTCTCTTACGTGACTCAGCCGGAACTTCTCGGAACTCCG